CCATCATGTCGGCCTCTGCCATCACACTTTTTAAGGCTAAAGTCACCTGAACGAAATTTGTTGAACCATCGTTGACACTTACGAACGTTCAAAATATTTCCATAAACTTCTTTGATATACTTTGTGGCTACAGAAGCGTTTTTTCCCTTCTTGTATTTTAGCAGCATTACATGCCGAATGTGTGTCTCGTCGTGTGCCATCACTACAAGGGATTAGAAGATACTAAACTTTACACATTATATAGGATACACCAAGGGAACGGGCTTTGAAAAAACTAAATTTAACAAATTATATAGGCTACACTAACATGACGTTTAGGCGGTTCGTTTTACTATTATACATAATGTACGTTATTTGGGGGGTGGTTAATGAAAGTGTTCCAAAACGCGGCACTAATTTCTTAACGACCTAATAGAATATCGTAATAATCAATTATTAAAACAAATTGTCTCAAACGTTAAAAAATAATGGAAAATGATATGCACATGTTTTACAAGGTTTCCAATGAAAAGTGAAGTTATAATAAAAACTACCGTTAAATATCTGTAAAGATTTATTCACGTGATCACTGTAATCTATTGAAATTTATCTTTGTTCTACTCAGCACTAAATGAAGAAGGAAAAAAAGGGTCGATATTAGTTCCACTGTAGGAATGTGTTGAACGTTTTTCTTTTGTTGTAATTACGTGCATCCTTAATAATTTAAAACTGTATTTTCAAAAATGTTGTCCCCTTTTTATGTTCCAGAGAGGAAAAGTTTTTATTTCAGGATATTGTGTCAGTTGATCCAGGTATGACATAGTGGTTAGTACGTAGTGACTGGAAATCCAAGAGTTCATGGTTCGCGGCTTGTCGCTGTAGAAACGCCTTGTGGTCGTGGATGTGCTTATGAGTGACCCTTGCATCTCGCTATTCGGCTAGACCAGAGTAGCCTAAGAGTTGGTGGGGGTACTGCTGACTAGCTCCCTTTCTTCTAGTCTATCAGCTTCAAACTAGGGTCTGCTATTTACCAATAGCTTTTGTATAGTTTTGCACGAATATTTTGAACAAAACAAAGCCTAATGTATTGAATTTCCTTGACAATTATCAATCATGCTTGAAGGACTGGAATGGGTGTAGTTTACTTCAGAGCTTTACATATTAAAAATATTTTTATGCAATGTCTGAAATCTAAAATGAATATTATGAAGTCATCTAGAACTTCTCTTGATGAAGAAATTGAATTAAATTGCACTTAAGCTCATGGATATATATATATATATTAGCATTAATAATAAAGATAACTTTGTATATGAATACAGTAAGTTTTTATTTATATATATTTATATATATCTTCTCTGCAAACATAACAGAATAAAGATGCAAGTACACAGGGCACTTTATACAATAATTGAAACCTTTCATTTAAGATCTGGTAGAATATATAATTTTATTAGACCAAATGATTGAGGTGAGATTTAATAAATATCATCATTTTTACTTGAAAACCATTAGAAAACGAACACTATTGAGCAAAAATTAGATATTCTCTGTAAATTTTAAAAACAATGTTTCTTGTCTATTCATACTTTTCAAGCTTCCCTAGATATATTGACGTTTTTAAAGAATTCAGACATTAAATCAGTCATAATGCCAGGAATTGTTAAATGAAAAACATAAAAAACAAATGAAGATTGTTAAAGGTTTAAAATATTTTACATACCACCCGGGCTGCATATTCTAAGGTTCAAGGCTTGAGCAACAATCTACAGCTTTACATAACATTATAATTATGGCAATCTAATTCTTTGTCGGGTTAAGTGCAGCGGCTTATGTTAAATGATTTGCTCAATCTGATAATCAGTTCTAAATTAAAGTTTAGCCTGTTGTGTAAGGAGCAGTTGAAGTTGAACAAACCAAATTCATTTTCAAATAGCATCAACGCATTGAAATATAACATGAAATTAAAACAAAAACGACACACTGAAAGTAAAAATTGCAGTTAGGATAATAATGACAGTAATCATCAAGTTCGTAATATGAACTGTAATAGTAAAAATTGCAGTTAGGATAATAATGACAGTAATCATCAAGTTCGTATTATGAACTGTAATAGTAAAAATTTCTTTTTATTTCATCTTTCTTCCAAAAACAATCAATAAAAGGTTTTGGTTGTAGAAAAAGGTCAAGATTAACCGCTTGAATACTTAAATGCTTACCTTTTGGCGACAGTTTATTACTGTTTGTTTCATGATTTCGCGCAAAGTTACACAAAAGTTATTTGTACATAGCCGTCCCTAACTCGAAATGATAGAATAGAGAAAAGGCAGTTAGTTAACAGCGGCAATCATCAACTCTTTCGCAACTTTTCTCTGATCTAATAGTGGGATTATGACTGTCACGATTTCAAAGTGCGGAGCGTGTTTTTACGGCAACGGCTTCCAAACGACAAATTCTAAGATTCACAATCAGTGCACATTATTCCATCTTCAGCCATTTGCTTGTCGTCAAATATATAACAATAAATGATGGAATGGAACAGTGGAAGCCTAACTGAATGATTTCCGTTTTAATTTTTTTTAAACTTTCTATTATACAAGTATTAATATTTTTCTTTGAATATATCACATAGGAAAAACTAAATAAGAATATATTGTATGTCAGAAAATTCCGTTTATTATGAAGGCTGTATATTCACAATTAATTGAAGTAATCCAGAAAAATATGGCTTAGAAAAAAAGAAGAAGAATGGTATTAAAACTTCAACCAGTAAACAGTTATTCTATCTTTAAAACAACATATAATAAAACA